CTAATGCTAATGCTAATGCTAATGCTAATGCTAATGCTAATGCTAATGCTAATGCAAATGCTAATACTAATACTAATAGTAATACTAATCGTAATGGTAATACTAATAATAGTAGTAGTAGAAATGCTAATTGTAATTCTAATACTAATACTAATAGTGAAAGTAATACTAGTGGTAATATCTATACCAATACTAATACAAATACTAATACTAATACGATTAGAAATACTCATAGTTATAGTAATACTAATAATGACGATAATACTAATACTAAGACTAATACTAATACTAATCGTAATGGTAATACTAATAGTAGTAGTAGTAGAAATGCTAACTGTAATTCTAATACAAATACTAATAGTAAAAGAAATACTAATATTAATATATATACCAATACTAATACAAATACTAATACCAATACCAATATTAATATGAATACTCATAGTAATAGTAATAGTAATAATAATGACGATAATACTAATACTAATAGTAACACTAATCGTAATGATAATACTAATAATAGTAGTAGTAGTAATGCTAATAGTAATTCCAATACTAATACCAATGCCCAAGCCTATAGTAATGCTGATTCTAATATTAAAAGTAATACTTATACTAATACAGCTACAAATACTCATAAGAATTATAAAACTAGCACTAAAACTAATAATAATAATCCTAATGCTATTCTTTAACACTTATACTAATAAGAATACAAATACTAGCACTTACACTTATACCAATACTAATATTAAAATACTAATACTAATGCTAATACTAATATCTGTCAATAAGTTTGTTATTTATATAGATTAGCTGAATTGCTCAAACTTTTGCTTTCAAGGCCAATAAATTTCAACGTGCCCTGCATTACGGTTAATAGGACCCACACAACTTGGCCAAATTGTTTGAGGTGTTTTCGCAACAGGCCCCCGGCTCCTCTGCCCCGGCTCCACCTACAAATCGTTGGCCTGTTTATTGGCCCCACATGAACCGGCAGTGGCTGGCCCTCGCCTGACTTGGCTTGCCTTGGCTCGCATTGGCTGGCCGCCTAATTAGCAGCAAGTCAAAGTCACGTGAAATGCTGCCATTGATTATGATGAGGTCGCACTGTTGCTGCTCTAATGCCAAACACTTTGGCCTAATGCCTAGAGGACGCGGCAACAGATGCCGAGCAGCGCCAGATATGAGCCAGATATGAGGTCTGCACCCGCAACAGCCGCACAAATTGCCCATGCTGGCCGAAAGCTGGTGCATGGGCTGTGGTCGAGGCCGAGCACCGATGACGCTTTTGGCCAATGTAATTAATACCAACATAATTATATTTGGATAACGCAAACGTAATCAAGATTAATTGAGTAACAGCAGGTAGTTTGCATAATTAGAGCTCGGTCGCCAGAGCAGAGCGGCCACTCGACCTGCTCAGACCGGTGGCCATCGTGCTCATCGTTCATTGTCGTTCATTGCTCGTCCATCCAGCAGGAGTAGGAGGGGGAGGAGGAGGAGGAGCAGCATTACAACAAACATTCCCATCAACTGGCCAACGCCAATGGCAGCAGCAGCAGCGTTGACTGTCCACTGTCGTCGCTCCATGGCCAAAAAACATAATTTACAATTTCAAATGCCCCTCCCACAGTCTCCCTATCTCTCTCTCTCTCCCACTTCCTCAGCCATTTTCTGTCTCGCTGCGTGGGCAGCTATCAGCATGCTTTGAGTTTTGGCTTTCGGCTTTGGGCCACAGCATAGCATGGGCATCAAGCCAACTCCATCATCGTCTTGCTCAACTTCATTTGATTACAATTGTTCCTCTTGTTCGCATTGTTCCTCCTGTTCCTGTTGTCGCTCCTGTTCGTCCTGTTCCCATTGTATTTGCTGTTCTGGCTCCTGTTGCCCGGACAACGGACCGACGAGCCGAAAGGCTGACGGGTTGCAGCTGCAGCTGCAGCTGCAGCCACAGCTTAATAAGAACGCCCAGAACTAATGACCATTGTCCCAGGCTCGACGACCTAATGGACTCCATTGCCTGCATGTATGCAGTTACTTAACTGGCCACACCGAGTCGCACACGGCCCTGCGCTTGGCACAACATCTCCCTCCCCTCCTCGGGCCGCATGCAATTTGTTGCGAAAATGTTGATCTAAAGTGAGTTTCAATGGAGGCACGAGTGCAAATTCAATGGCTTATAAGTGCTAGACTATCGATACCCGTATGTCGATAACACAATGCTTATTGAGTGTGTGAGCTTAGAGTCGATTATCGATTATTATAGCAATTCAGAAAGTCTTATCAGCTATGTACCTTAATTATCGATAATATATGAAATCAACTCTACCCACGATTCGAAAGCAATTCTATTTATTTATCTTACGTCATTTAATATACGAAAAAAAAAGCTTTAAAATGCTGAGAGTCCCTTTGCATTTATGGCTCATAATACCTATTGTCCGATGGCGGTATATAGAGCTGCCCGGGTAAAATCTTTTCCGGCAGCCGCTCTTGTACCTGTGGGCGCTCATAGAGTTCCAGTTCATAGCAGAAATAGTCGTACACATAGAGATCCTCGGGCGACACATAGTGAAAGGCCACCGGATAGTCCGAGAGGCAGTTCCGGCACTGCAGATCAACAAAACAAGTGAAAGGAAATCAAGGTGAGTCTGTGATACGACTCACCGCTCGGGGATTGTAGTAGGCGTACCGGAAGAGCCAGAAGTCCAAGCCATTGTATTTGGACATGAGTAAGGTGTACGGGGCCATGGGAAAGAATCTATTGCGCAGCGTTGAGTCGCGCGAATCGCCGGCGAGCACGCCCAGATTATAGAGGCATACGCCCATCTCCACGTCCTCGGCATGATTGTCCTCCTGCCGGCACTTGCTGCTATCGTTCAGGCCGTGCACAAAGATGCGCAGCGCCTCCCGGCTAAGCACGTACCCGCTGCCCCCCGACATGTACGACTGACCAGGCGACCGAGCAACAGACGATATGAAAATCTTCAATATTCTGGAATACTATTCGCACTTACTGCGTTTCCAAATGGACTGTAGAACAGCTTGAAGTTGTAGCCAAAGTAAATGGGCATATCTGGAGAGTAGGGATACAGCATGTGGCGCATATTCTCCACGAATACATAACTGCAAGAGAAGAGAAGAGGAAATTGTTATGGATATACTTAACGATAAAGATGCGAGAAGAGAGAAGGAAAATCAGATTTTGAAGTGAGCGCAAACTTAGTGAGAATGACAGAGAGGGAAACATTGGGAGTATCAGACAGAGGATCGAGATTGACAAAGAAAGAGATAGATAGAGAGACGCCGAGAACTGTTTGCGACGAGGTTCAAGCTCTTATCATTGTAAGACCTGCTGAAACTGAGGAGAAAATATGGGCATGCACATTTGTATGTTAAAGAACTTATTCAGTTCCGCACTGGTTCCCTTGTTGAATTGATTCATTTAACTAGCTAAGTTGGTTCACTAGATAAACTGATACATTTTCTGAACTAGTTCACTAGTTGAAGTGATTTATTTCTAAACCTAATTTGTTAGTTGAACCGGTGCACTGGAACTGGATTACTCTATGCACGGGCTCACCTTTTGAGCTCGTTCAGAACTAGCACACTAGTTGGATTGATTAGCCAGGGGAACTGATTCATTACTTGAACTCGTTCAGCAGTCGGATTGATTGCCTATTTGAACTGATTCCTTTCATGAACTGATTCATTTCGTTACATGATTCACTAGTTTAACTGACTTACTATAGGTTCACTAATAGAACTGATTCTCTAATAGAACTGGTTCACTCTGTGAACTGATTCACTAATAGAACTGGTTCACTCTGAACTGATTCACTAATGGAGCTGGTTCACTCTGTGAGCTGATTCACTAATAGAAGTAGTTCACTAACTTAATTGGTTCACTAGTTGAACTGATTCATTTCTTGAACGAATTCACTTGTTAAACTGGCTCCAGCCGAACAAGCTCACTAGTTGAACTGGTTCACTAGTTGAACTGGATCATTCTTTGTACTGATTCATTTGCTGACCTAGTTGAAGTAGATCACTGGTTGAACTGCCCCAACTAAATTACTCCATTTAATTGCAGGCGTTCATTCACACTAACTAGTTCACGTACGTATCATCGTCGGCCTTCATGAACCAATCGGCCTCGTGCAGCTTGTTTTCGTAGAAGTAGGTGAATGCCTCCTTCGTCTTGCCCCAGAGCACGTCGTACGAGTCCGTCTTGTTCAGGACAATCGTGTCGAGCTCGTCGTCCGGTGCCGAGGTGATGAAATAGATCTTGTTGCACCGCTTGCCCCACGTGCGCAGTATGTGCACCGCCCGCGTCTTGTGGTACTTGGGCGTGGTCATCACCCAGCAGAGCACGCGCACCTCCCGCTCCAGCTGCGCGGCCAGCGGGCTCCGCAAGTCGCGTGCGCCCACATCCCGCCGAGCACTCAGCGCCGTCAGCATCATCACATCCCAGTAGGCGTAGAGCGCGATCAGTGCGACGCTGCAGATCGACGCGAAGACGCACAGGCGACGTGGCGACAGCCGATAGAGCGTGGGCCGAGCGCCGATCAGCAGCACTTGCAGCTCCTCCCGTTTCCTGGCCGGCGACCGGACGACTTGCTCCAGCTGCTCGTGCTGCAGCTGCTCCAGTGTGATCTTGTGCTCGGACATTTTGGCACTGGCTGCGGCCCCGTCACCGTGGCCAGATAGCGTGTTGCCCACTGAAGTGGCATCTTATCTGGCAACAGCTCGCCCATGTTCGACATAACGGTAATGGATATTGAACCGGAACAGCGAAACAGCGCACAGTGAGGTCTGATAATAGGTTTTTTTTTTCCATTTCAAGATAAACAAACAGCTGTGGGCGACACTGAACTGCTGCGTGCAGGCAGACAGACAGACTCGAAGACCTTTACTATCGCAGTATCAGTCAAACTGTAATACAGATATAGGCATATACATATGGAATCTTGTGAATGGAAATGTCTATCTATCTATATAGACTATCAAGTTGTAAAAGACATAGCGAATGGGCATTCATCTTAATCGGTTTGTTGCCGGAAAATACTCTACTGACTGACTATATTATCATCTAAGGGATGTAATTTAATTTTATTAAGTATACGCCATCCCTGGAACAAACATTTGTTTGCTTGCAATTAAGCGCCTTTAACTTAATAACTTCAAATTTGCATATTATTTTCCTTCTGATCAACCTTTAATAATAATGATATCATAATAAAATAATATAATAATGATATATATAAATATGTTGAGGCATACGAATATACGAAGATGGTATACATGCCTGAGACACACTCAACGACTAGCAGGTAGTACGATAGGAAAAGATAAGAAAAGATAGATCAAGATAAAAGTTAAGTACGGACTCTATAAGTAGATAGATGAGCCTCACCTTTGCAACCCCAGAGTCAGATTATGTAAGAGACGAACGCTGAGTCTTACAAACTCAGCGATAAAATAAGAATCTCTAATAAATCAGTGCTGATCCCTACTCTCTCGGCAATAGACGCACTAGATTTAAGGTTGGAAAATATGCACAAGTCTGGGTATATACGAAACGAAGCACCATCATAGTCAAGTAAAAATATGCTACTATAATAGAACAATGGAGTACCGCTAAGTCGAAATGTTAAGGGCAAAATTTTGTTGTTCTTCAATTAGCACAGAAATGCAAATTATCCAGATTAATCGAAAAGGAATTTCTCTAAAGGGGATGGAACTTTTTCTCGATTTATAGCGGGGTACAAAATATCGAGAATCGACACATTATACAGTCGATACCAATACATCAATATATAAACATGTCAGGTATACGTCACGGCATAAGCAATGCCAAAATGAAATTGAGGAAATTTATGAAAAATGAATGAAACTAAAGCAAAATTTGTCAATCATAATTTGTATAAAAATTTTACTGTAAACATTTATTGAATTAAAAAAAAAAAAACAGTGAAACAGTCGAGCAGAGCAAAGACAGGTTATTGCCCTGGCTAGCAGCATATGCTAATCCTGTCCAGCAGCTGGCACTAACTCCGACTCCGACTCTGGCTCCGACTCTGGCTCTGGCTCTGGCTCTGGCTCTGGGACTCTTGTTGACATTTGCCATGCAAACCACTCGACAATCGTAGAAATTTGTTTAAGTTTAAAGGCTGCGACAATTTATCAAAACGCCAAGGGCCACTGCGATGGCACACACACACACACACACACACACACAGACACACATAACTATAGCCCCGACTATGGCTATGGCAGCGCCCAAAAACAAAGGACAAACATACCGAAACAGTTGAGAGAATCTTTCAATTAATCATGAGCGACATGTGGTCCGCTACGTCTTTCCCCCCCTCCCCCCGCGCACTCACTCACGCCGGCCCACTCCGGCCAGACCGCCGAGCGCGAGAATAATTATACGAGCGTGCATAGCGCATACGCCCCATAGGCCAACCCTCTCAGGGCCAAAAAGCTAGCTGGCTGCCGTTTTTCGGCACTGCTCGATGCTCGATGGTCGATGGCCGCTCTGGTTGGCAAACAAATAGCTGCCATAATAGCCGGCGAGCAGGCGGTGTCCCAAGCACACACACACACTCACACACACACACACATGCATCCTGCCGGGAGCCCTGCCGCCGGCTCTGACGTTGGCCAAACAAATTCGCATTAATAAAATAAAATTCACTAAAAATAAATATAACACACACACACACACACACACACACACACGCGCGCGCGCGCATGTGGGGTGTAAAACTATTTGGCATTTGTGGGCGTGGCAGCTGGGCTGTCTTCCGGCACGCAGTGATTGTAGCAGTTGGTCGTCCGCTCTACAAAGAGAAGCTAATAAAAATGTTATTCTACCCGTTTATGCTTTCGTTTTGGCTCGGTGCTGCATACCCTGTAGCGACTGCTAACACGAATAGGGCGGAACGGACAGCCATGTGAAGTGCAGTCTAGTGAAAGTACACATACACATGGCTGGCCATCTGGCCATCTGGCAACCCTCTAGTTGTGGAGGCTCCATTTGAGGGAAGTCAAATTCAAACGAATCAAATACAATTCTTACTTTTATCATTGATTAAATCTTTTTTTTTTTATAATTTAATAAAGCTCTACGAGGTAACCTAGTAACCTCTTTGTGAGCCTATTAATGAAAAAATAAATAAAAATTAAAAAACAAGAGCAAACCTGGCTCTGTCGAGTATGGGCAACTTTATAGAGTTGCCAGATGGATGCGTCGAATATGGACAGAATATGGATAGATATCTTTGCGAATAAGAGCGGATATACAGGGCACTATACACATTCATCTAAATATATCATAGAAATTTCACAATATTTCCGAAATTTTAATTTTTTTTTAATCTATTGGGCACACCCATAAATGTGGCCAGCAAAATTTTGAGTATTTGGTGAAGGATGCCAAAATTATGTCAAACGTTATTATTTCTTAAACTTTTTTTTGCTTTTATTATTTTAAGATATGTATATTTTTGAATACAAGTTGAATTTTTAAGATACATGAAAATATATAGACGTTATCACCATTAAAAAAATAAAAATCACACTTAATAATTTGTGTATATCTAATTTTATCTGTATCTAGTTGAAAGTAGGTATTCAGAAATCACTTTCAATTGCAATTTTAGAGCAACTTCTATATCTGTATCTGTTTACAGGGTATTCGCATGTCTTGCACTCGCCACCTTCTCATTTGTTTTAGCTGCAAATAAATTTGGTTCGCGCACCAACTAAACGAATGCAAACACAACCGAGGTCAGAGCAGAGGGCCGATAGCAAAGTTGCCCCAAAGCGAGTGGAGTACGATGCATTTTGAGAGCTGTTCAATTGAGTATGCGAAATTGTCGTCAGCTATACCAAATATCAACTTGTATGTACAAATATATAGAGTAAATATGTATATAGAGCTCTTCTCATATGCATTTCCAACCCTCATCTAATCCGACTCAGTCAGACTCGTCTATTTCCTCCACCTTCACAGTGTTTCTTTTCTCATTTTAATTGACTCTTCTTCTTCGTCTTCTCTTATCTTAAAAGCCTGATCAGTTCTTGTGTGCCTTCAATCTTGCTCTGTCTCTCTCTCCCTCTGTCTTGCTCTCTCTCTCTTAGCTACTTTTGCTGGCATTTCTACTTCAATATCGCCAGCATTCGATGTATTCCTACAAGTCATAAAAAATGCTTTCAATCAATGGCTATAGCCCAGGCGGCACTATTGTTTAGATTCCCTCTGTGCCACCTGCTGGCCTACCACCACTTCCGGCCTCCAACTGCAGCGGAGGCCCCAACGGAGCTGGAACTGCACTGGACGGGGACAGCATTGGAAATTCATAAAAATAAACCAAAGTCAAATGTATGCGAGCAGATTTTTTGCAATAATGTTAGCTTTCGGATTTTACAAGCGGCATTTGTTTTTCTTTCTGCCACTGACCCCTCGGTAGTGCCCCACCCCCTACTCTCTGCACCGCGCACAGCTATCCTTATGCTCGCTGTTCGCTTTGGCACCAGCAATAGCTGCATTAGTGATGATACCAATAAATATCTAAATTCATATATAAATATATATATTTAAATATCTATATTTATATATGAATTTAGATATTTATATCTATATTTATATTTAGATATTTATATAAGGGTATGCATATTTTATGTAATTAATTTTTTTTATCTAATGAGACAAAATTATAATACAAATCACATTTAAATTAAACGAAAATATATAAATATATACAAATATATTTTAAAACATATTTTATAGAATTAATTTTTGATCTAATTAAACAAAATTATAATACAAGTCAAATTTAAACAAACCAAAAATGTTTTTATACATATTTATGTAATTTATTTTTTATCTAATGGCACAAAATATTAGTAAATATTAAGTTTTAATTAACCAAATATATATATGTACATATGAAAATATTTTAATAGTTATATAAAAAATCTAAAAAATACATTTTAAAATATTATTGCAAGGAAATATATTATTTTTTATTAATTTTTTAATTGATTGACAACAAAAATGTATTTAATAAAATAATAAATAAAGTAAAACTTTTATTTAATCTAATTTAATTTTGTTTTAAAATATATTGCTAGTATTTCTGATGGGTACAATATTATGAAATATATATGTTAAATAATAAATAGTTTTATCATAAATTTTAAAGTACTGCAAGACATTCTTTAGTAACTCTATAATATATAATATAAAATTTAATCAATCAGTATAAAATATATTTTAAAATTGGCAACAAAATTTTGTTTTAGTTGTTATTTTTTTTTACAATTTAAAGAAAAGCAGTTCGCGAATCATTTTCGCAGAAAATTAAAAAGAACTAAAATAAATCGTATAAGTTTTAATTATATTTTTAGGCATTTCCTGTGCCTTAACCAATACTTATTTGACGTCAATCACGTCACGATATTTACACATCTCTAGCAAACGCACACACACACATACAGTCACACACACACACACACTCAGTGAGACATCAAACGTGCAAACATTTACCATATTTTTGTAATCAAAGTAAACAAACCATTTAACCAAACAGAGCACACACACACACACACACACACACACATAGAGGAGGCAAAGGCAGACACACACACACATAGCATAGTGGCTGGCAGCTG